AGGCAACACCTGCTCTTTGTACTACAACCATTTGTTCACGTTTTCAAAAGCTATTATTTTCCTATTCGAAAGCTATTATTTTTCTATTCGAAAGAAGAAAAACACTAATCCTAAGCATTAAACTAGTAAAACAGTATGTGTAAATATTGTTTTCCTGTTCGAAAGCTATTATTTTTCTCAAATACGTTAGATTTCTGGGTTTTCCCCATTTTCAGAATACCAACAAAAAATAAATCATAAAGTTCAATAGTGAGAAAAGGGATCAAACCGTGCAATTATGTTATAGTTCGCCGGTGAGAGGGCCGATTTGGTCGCCAGGACAGACAGAAGACGACTTCGCTTGGAATCGTGTGAGGGCCATTGTTGTACCAAAGAAATCCCTTTTAGGGAAGCAGAGTTGAAATGATTTTAGGGATCAGGCAGGAGAAAAGGGTAAAGCATATATTTAACCTTTGCCGGTGTTTTTAAAGAAATGCCACTATAGTACATGTTTTTGCGGCGTTTTTATAAAAAATGCCACTAATGATGAACCCTATTACGACGTTTGTCCTAAAAACACCGCTAAATTACTACTCTATTGCGACGTTTGTTGGAAAATGTCACTATAAACAACCCTATTCTGACGTTTGTGCTATAAACGCCGTTAAATTACTATTCTATTACGGAATTTGTTGAAAAAATGCCATTATAAACAACCCTATTCTGGTATTTGTGATATAAACGCTGCTACATTACTACTCTATTGCGGCGTTTGTTGGAAAAATGATGCTAAAATATCTTTTTGTGGCGTTTGTATTATAAACACCGCTATATGTTTAAATTTTGTGGCGTTTCTCTCCAAACGCCGCTACAGAAAACTTTTGTTGTAGTGAGTTAAAAAATGATATTAACGTGTTACCATAAGTTAATATCACATTATCATTGAAAAAATGTTATATCAAAAACATGATATTAAATATATTTTTAAAAAATAATTAAATAATTAAAATAAGACCGTAAAAATAGACGACGGGGTAAATATGTAGAATACCCTAATTAGGGTTAAAATTACGTGTATATAAATAAAGAGAAGTCTACTACTAGGAGTGTATCATAAATGAAGTGAAAAATTAAAATATCAAACTCATAGTTTTCATGGAAGCGAAAGAAACCCTCACAAATATTAAGCTTAATCTCTTGGTTTACTCCCATTTAAAAGTCATGTTTAGTTTTATTGAGAGTTCCTAAAAATAAGGGATGACTCATTATAATAAAATCAAACTTTTGTGTGACTTTAACGATTAAATATAAATAAAAACACTCTTAAGAGTCATAAATGATAATAAATACCCTTAAGTGGATAACAATCTAAAAATGATTAGAGTTAGGGTGTTATAAACTAATATATTTATATTATAATGGTATTTATATTATTCATATATGTTTAAAAATGTTTCATAAACTAATTATGAGTTAATTTAGTGGGAAAAGACATAAGATTTTTTAAAGTTATAAGTTTTAAAATCCTTACAATACCTAATTAAAATTAATCAATTAATAAATTAGAAACATATAGTTATATAAAAAAATACGTTTCGCAAGGTATTACTAGAAGATACTGTTGTCATTCACTCTTTAAAGAACTGTTGCAGATAGTTTGCTCTGTGCTTGCAACACACTTTGACAGAGAGCATCACAAAATCATTAGCTTTCTCTTATCTACCAAAAACAAAATCCATTACAGTATTTTTAGTGTACTATTTTGTCATATTTAAGAAGCTTCGGACGGTCTGCAATACTTAAACCATTTTATTCTCCCATAAAAGAGAAACATTTCATATCTAGTACTGTATCACATTTTATTGTTTCCCTTTTTTTATTTTAATTTTAAAGACGAATCGACTCAAGTGCCGAGTACTTAAATCATTCTATGTGGGAAAAGAGACAACAGGAGGAACAGAAAATTGAAAGAATGAAAAGACAAATTGTTCGCAGACAAATGGATTATGCCATGCATCTCAGCTGTCAGCCATGGAGGAGATGCGGTAAAAAAAAAAACCACACCATCTACAAATTGGCATTTGTTCTTTATGCATCGATTTTTCTTTACAATTTGATAAAGAACATTTAAACACATAGATATAATATTCTAATCTAAAATTTTAAAAGATAATAATAATTTTTTAATCACGAAAGTTGTTTGATTAAAAATACAGTTACATTAAATAAATTATTTAGATTGAGAAGTGAAAAATAGAATTTGCATGATGTTGAGGCGAAAGTTGGCTAGCATGCAAAGTAACGTTCGTACCAGAATTTGGCATGATCTTGAGGCCAGAGTTGGCAAGCATGTTCCGCTGGGGACCCCATTATGCCGAAACCCTCAGACCACATCAGCTTAGGAAAGAAGGGGGAGATACGGGCCAAGCCATATCCGGTTGTTCCCGACGCTGGCCGTCCAACTAACATCTTCCGTTCTGTGGGCAGCGAGAATAGCCGCCGAGCTTGGAACTCAGTTTCATGAAACAAACTCAAGGAAACGCCATGATTAATGACTTGAAACACTCCCCATTTCTCACAAGCATGGCTTACAAGGTCACATGCACCCGGCTTGCCAAAATCGATGACATGCAGCAATGGTTTGCCATCATCAATGGCGTGGTCACATGGATTGTCTGAAGGCAAAGTTGTTGTCGACCATGCATGAGAGTCGGGTAGCGTAGTGATATTGTCGAAGTCGAACGGAACGAGGTGGTTGAAGGTTTGGGGCTTCAAGGTGGGATTCATACGAAAGAAAAGAAAAGATGAGAATTCGGGAGCGAGTCAAGATTGTTTTGTAAGAATCTGACATATATATAGACAGTCAAGTCCTCTTTGACTGTTATTTTCTTCCTTGAACTTTGTATTGTCTACATGGTAACTTCACCCTACCATGGTAAGTGGAAACCCTACAAATGTATGGATCAGGGTGACAATAAAGATTAGCGACCAGAATGGGTTACATGTACTAATTTTTGCTCTTCCAGTTTAGTGTTTTTATACCTTTTATTAATTTAAATGTTAGTTCTTAACTAAATTTAACCTTAAACATTTTTAAAAATAATCAAATTGTTTTTAAGACAAAAATGATTATTAAAATATTAAATTCACAATGGCCTTGATGTGGTAGCTTGTGGCATCAATGCACATATTATGTTTATATGTTGTTAACAAGTGGTTTTAAAATTATAAAAATATTTTTAAAATAAAATATCAAAAATAAAATAAAAAATAACATGAAGTACATGTGGAGTGTCATGGACGTTATGTTAATACTATCGGAATCAAACTTTTTAGACAGAGATATAATTAGAAAAAAAAATAATTTATATTAAATTTAACTTTTTATTTTGGAAAATTATGAATTAAATATTGTGAATGAAAAGATTTATTTTATGGGAGAGGATTAATAGGATCATTGAACAACCTTTTCAAACCCGATTTTCAAAATTTAAATGTTATATCCTGCAATTATCTTTATTTTATATTATCTGTATTTAAAAAAAATATTATCATCTATTGTTTCCGTTGAACTAAATCTATATTACACTTAACAATTTTTTTTTATATAAATATTTTTGTTATCATTAACAAAATGAACAATGAATAATATTTTCACAATCTTTTTAATTCTTTTTTTTTAATATGGTATCAAACGTCTATCCTCAAAGATTGTTAAAAACACTTTCTTTAATACTCTTGACCCAAACAACTCTCTCAGTTTAGTTATCATTTACGATTCTATCAAACTCAACTTCAACAATTACCTTTCATAGAAGACCCAAATTGAATCCATCTTTATAGGTTATGACCTTTACAAATTCATTGGTAACTCATATTCTTTTCTATTCAAGACTGTTACTATTAACAACATAACCTCTTCCAATTTGGCGTATCAAACTTGACCAGGACAAGATAATTTTTTATTTGGTGCACTAGTAGACACCATTTCTCCCTTGTGACATTCATCTCAGAATTCAAAATCTCGTTTGACACTCCGAAAGTTTTTGTGAACACATATACTGACATTTCAAGCAATTCGAAATAACCTAAAAAAACATGTCCAAAGTATCTTAATTCATCACTGACTACATGTTAAAAATTAAAAACAGAGTTGATAAGCTAGTCCACCCTTGAAAAATCGTTAGATGTTGAAAATCTCATCGAGGAAGTGTTAGATGGTTTTGATGACTCCTTCCAAGTGGTTATTGATGTTGTCAACAGTCGCGATATTGTGATTGTCTTTTATGAGTTACATGCGAAATTGATGAGTTGTTCTTAAGCATTTTATAATCGGTAGTACCAATCATAGCCTATTCCACACATACTCAACATTCCAACCAGTGTACCCATCAACCACACACACATTGATTGTCTCTCAGCAGCAATCAACCCATGCGGCTCTTTTTGGGCAGATGTCAGCCGTGTTAGGCTCAAGGTTATGTTGTCACTCAATGTTCTCTCTTTCATCAGAACTTCTCGAATGCATCCCCACCTCAGTGCCTTGTCAATTCCTTTACCTCCACTATGGCAATGTCAAACCCTTTTTGCCATGTCCACTTCCTCGCCATATATATCTGGGTTTTTGATAGAATCACGATCGATCTCAACAACTTTTCTATTCACAACCTTTACTCCAGTCCAGATGACATAATTATAGTTGATAGCTCTAAAATTTCTATTACTCACACGGGACCTTCAAGTGAGTAATTTTCTTCCAAGGTCAACCAAAACATGGTGTCTATGAGTGGCAAACTTTTTCTAGAGTGGGATGTGCTGGTGAAACAAACTTTGACAGAGAGCATCATAAAATCATCTGTTTGCTCTTATCTACCAAAAAGAAAAACCATTACAGTATTTTTTTTAATGAATTAATTTGTCATATTTAAGAAGCTTTGGACAATCTGCAATACTTAAACCAGTTTATTCTCCCATGAAACAGAACCATTCCATATCGAGTACTTACATTATATTATCTCCCTTTTTTTCTTACTTTTAATTTTAAAGACGAATAGACTCAAGTGCCGAGCTAAAATCAGTCTTCTTGATTTGAAGATACTCCTTCCACTTCACAGGCCGATACAGTGGCGGATGATCAGAATCGACCAACTTTTTCAACGGTGAAACCTTGGCATCCCATGGTGGTCCATAAAAGAACGCAGTTGACACACGGTGGCACGTCTTATTCACTACCGCACGATGCAGCACAGACTTGAACTTCCCATTAGAGACAATGTGCATCAAATCACCAACATTAACCACCAAGGCCCCCTCCACCGGCTTAACAGAGACCCACCCTGCACCATCTTTATAGACTTGGAGGCCGTTGATGTTGCTCTGGTTTAGCAAAGTGATGAGGGACGAGTCCGTATGAGGGGCTAACCCCATGGCTCGGTCAGGGTCCGGGCAAACCGGGTAGGAGTTCAGTTGAAGCACACATGGGGTTCGATCACACCCACTTTTGGGCTCGAACCATTTCATATCTTCTTCATTGGTTAAACCCAATGAGCCAAGCATTATTCCCACTATTTTCTCGCACAGTGTTTTCATCTCCGCCTGCCATTGTTCCATCACCTCGCTGCAGCAAAACCCAAAATCACAAACGAATTATGTGGGAAAAGAGACAAAAAGAGTAACAGCTTTTAGAAACAGAAAGCCGAAAGAATAAAACGACAAATTGTTCGCAGACAAATGGACTATCTCATGCATCTCAGCTGTCAGCCATGGAGGAGATGCGGTCACAGAAAATCACACCATCTACAAATTGACATTTGTTCTTTATGCATGCTAAGCAGTGAAGAGAGGATTTTTCTCTGTGGCACATCGAAAAATATTTATGATATAAAGTTTTTGTATGAAATGACAAAAAATATTTTAGGGTAGATATAATTAATAAAATAAATCATTAATTAAAAAAATGAATTTCAAGATAGTATTAAGTGTTCAGTGTGCACCAATCACTGCATTTGTCATCGATTCAGCTTGCAAGTAAGAACTTAGACTCTATATATTTATATGATTATAAATTTATTTAATTGAGTTATAATTTATATATATAGTACTCTATACATTATAATTTAATTATATTATGAAATATCATTAAAATTAAAGTTGCATCGAATAAGTATTTAACAGTATATAGTAATGGGACTGAAAACGTGAAAAAAGAATTTGGCATGATATCGAGGCGAAAGTTAATTTATATATATAGTACTCTATACATTATAATTTAATTATATTATGAAATATCATTAAAATTAAAGTTGCATCGAATAAGTTATTTAACAGTATATAGTAATGGGACTGAAAACGTGAAAAAAGAATTTGGCATGATATCGAGGCGAAAGTTGGCTAGCATGCAAAGTAACGCTCGTACCAGAATTTGGCATGATCTTGAGGCCAGAGTTGGCGAGCATGTTCCTCTGGCGACCCCATCATGCCGAAGCCCTCAGACCACATCAATTTTGGAAAGAAGGGGGAGATACGGGTCAAGCCATATCCGGTGGCTCCTGACGGTGGCCGTGCAACAAGCTGCTTCCGTTCCATGGGCAGCGAGAACAGCCTCCGAGCTTGGAACTCACTTTCAAGAAACAAACTCAATGGAACGCCATGGTTGATGACTTGAAACGCTCCCCATTTCTCACAAGCATGTCTTATGAGGTCATTTGCACCCGGCTCGCCGATATCGATGACAGGCGGCAATGGTTCACCGTCATCGACCGGGTGGTGACAAGGGTCGTCTGAAGGTAAAGTTTTTGTCGACCATGCATGAGAGTCAGGCAGTGTAGAGACATTGTCGAAGTCTAACGGAAGGAGGTAGTTGAAGGTTTGGGTTTGGGAATTCATGGTGGGTTTCATATGAAAGAAAGAAAGAAAGAAAAGATGAGAATTCGGGAGTGAGTGAGGATTGTTTTGTAAGAATGTGACATATATAGACAGTCCTCTATGACTGTTGTTGTCTTGCTTGAATTTTGTCTACATGGTAAGTTCACCCTACTTTGGTAAGTGGAAACCCTACAAATGTATGGAGAAGGGTGGCAATAAAGAATTATGACCAGAATTTGTTACCTATACTAATTTTTGCTTTTACAATTTGCTGGATCTTATCTAGTAATTAATTGAATTAGACATATAAATGGGGTAAAATTAATTAGTCACTGATTATATATGGGATCTTATCTAGTAAATAATTGAATTAGACATATAAATGGGGTAAAATTAATTAGCCACTGATTATATATAGCATCCAAAATTAACCGTATTTTCAAACTATCTTTGGTCCTGGAAGCCCATCCTACAATAAAAATTGAAAAATTAAAATAATCAAAATTTAAAATATTATTATATTATATATAAATAATAGGGTAAACTACTCAAATGACAAATATTATGAGATTGTTGTTGATATGACCATCATACTTTTAATTTTGACAATATGACCACATAATTATCTAAGTGATTTCAATCAAGCCACATGCCCTTAACATTTAATGAAATTGTTGGTATGGTAGTTAATAAAATTGATATAATTAAACATTCGATCTTTAATATTTATATATCCAATTAATTTGTTCTAATTATAATTTAATTTAATAAATTAACCCTTCAATCAGGTGGTGACATATATCAACATATGATCGTGACACATGTCACAATTGACACATGTCAGTGCTTGATTGAAGAATTTTTTATCAGTTTAAATTTATTTAATTAAATTTATTTTAAAAATAAAGAAAATTTATTTTATCATCATTTAATTGGACGGAAAACAAATTAGAGATGAAATGTGTTTATAAAAAATTTGAACTAGATTTATGGGATGGAAGTGGAGCGCCCAAGCCGACCGAATAGTTCAATTGGTTAGTAAATTACAATAAATTCTTTTTAGTTTATATAAAAAATAAAAAATATTCGAATGATATTTCGAACTTAGGCCAATTAATAAAAAACACCTAAATCAGTTAAATAAATATAATATTTTTATAATTAAATAGATTATATTTATTTTAAACCATATTTAATGTAATATTTAATATTAAAAATAAATTTAATATTAGAGATAATATATTTATCTATCTAAATTGATATTTATTTAATTAATATACGAATAAAATTTAGAATAATCAAATCCTAACATAAAATCATAAATCATAAAATCAAACTTCAAAAAATTAATTAAAAACTTGAAATACAAGCTTCGTTATTTGTGCCTTTCACTTTAATCAATAACATAATAATTTATTTATTGATCAGCTACTTGGAACAAAATATATCTTATCATACGTGAGTTTAAAAGGTGGGACTTACAGAACAGATTGTATCCTACATGATATGTCTAGTTAATAATTAAATGTTATTTTAAAACTTATTTATAAAACTATCACCAAGGTGGTAGTGAATAGCCTTAAACCCATGCTTCCGGGTTTGATCTCAGAAAGTCAAACTAATTTTGTGTCAGACCAAAGTACCATTGATAATATTGTCATGGCACAAAAAGTGATACATTTGATGCGATGAAAAACAGACCGAAAAGGTCGGATGGCAATCAAGATCGGCCTGAGAAGGCTTACGACCGGCTTTAGTGGTCTTTCATTGATGATACTCTCCATGATATTGTGCCCGACGATCTTCGACAACTCATCAAGAACTGTGTTTCTACGGTTTCAACCCAAATTGTGTGGAACGGTGGACTCTCTGATATTTTTTGCCCTCTCGAGACATTCATCAAGGTGATTACCTTTCTCCCTATTTGTTTATTCTCTGTATGGAATGCTTAGCTCAGGCAATTGAAAAGGAGGTAGACGATGGCAATTGGCTTCCGATAAAGTTTTGCCGTGGTGGACCTGCCATTTTACACTTATTTTTTTGCTAATCATCTTGTCCTTTTCGCCGAAGCTTCTTTAGACCAACTTGATGTGATTCAGCGGGTCCTCCAAGATTTCAGTTATAGCTCGTACCAAAGCTAAAACCGACATCTATTTTTCTGGAAATGTGGATGATTCTGTCAGGAACGATATTACTGAAGATTTCCAGTTCTCGAAAGTAGACGATCTGGGGAATTATTTAGGGTTACCTCTAATTCATAGGAGGGTTACTCGTGCTACTTATGATTATCAGATCCAATGAGTCTGAGATAGAATGGCCGGTTGGAAAGCGAAGTCCTTATCTCTAGCGGGTAGGATAACGCTATCCAAATCAGTGTTAAACTCTCTCCTTTCTTATGCAATGCAAACAAGTTACCTTTTGAAGGGTATTTGTGCCAAGATAGAACGTCTCACCCGAAATTTCGTTTGGGGCTATTCGGGTGAGAAGAGATGTGGTAATCTTGTGTGTTGGGATCAAGTTTGCAAATCGATTGATCAATGAGGGCTTGGAATCAAACGGATGATGGCTCAAAACAAGGCGTTCCTTATGAAACTTGTCTACCGTCTTGTTGCAAATAAAGACCACTTATGGGCAAGGGTGATGCACTCAAAATACAAATGGGGTGAGGGGCTATCGGGTAATCTGTTTCAGACAGGCTGCTCACGTATTTGGAGGGGTTTAAGCGTGGTTTGGATGGAGATTGGGGGATTGACGTGGAACCTTGGTAATGGTTTGAGTGTGGAATTTTGGAGAGATGATTGGTTAGGCGATGTTGGCCCTTTAATTAACCACTGTCCACAACCCATGAATCCATCTCTTGTGACTCCTGTTGCCACTATGGTTGGGCATAATGGAGATTGGCTTTGGGAGAGTATACGATCCACCCTTCCAAAAATTATCCGTCTATCTCTTGCTGCCATGAAACCTCCATTAGTGACGAGTGGTGAGGATCGTCCAGGGTGGAAATGGGAAAAGAATCGTCATTTTTCTACTTCAAGTGCCTATGCTCGTAGGTTGAGTGATTCGACCGGGGGAGCGAATGGAATTTGGCGAACTGTTTCTTCTTTAAGGGGTCTTCTAAAAGTTAGAATGCTCGTTTGGTTGATCTGTTGAAAAGTCATCATCAAGTGGCCAAAATTGGTGGCCTAATTTTCCACCGAAAGATGATTTGAAAATTAGAAATAATAATTCACCTAAAATGTTGAAAAAAAGTGGAATGGAAAAATTAATTTTAGTCATTAGACTTTAGGGTATTTACAAGATTAGTTCTTAAGCTTTAACTATAAATACCCTAGCTCATGTAGCTTCAAAACCATCCCAAATCATTCTAGCTTTCTTCCAATACTAGAGAAAATTCAGAGAATTTCTTTAGAGTTGTTTTCTCCTTTTTATCAAGAGAGAATTATCATTGTTTTCTCATTGGTAGATCGAGAGAGGTTGTAATTCCTATTTTCTCATAGTGAAATTCTTCTACCAGTGCCCGTGGTTTTTACCCTATATTATTTAGGGGTTTTCCACGTAAATTTTGTGTCTTCTTTATCTTTATTTTTTATTTTCTCAAATTATCAGTTGCGATTTTGCTCTATCCGATAGCCGTCTTACGCAACAATTGGTATCTGAGCCAGATTTGAGTGTGTAATATCTGCTTATTGTCTTTGTGGTTGCCACCAAAAGGTGGATCCTCCAACATAAGAAAGTAAGAAGGTATTATCCATTCTTTGAAGGTTCCAGAGAACTATTCACAATAGTGAAATAGTGGGAGCTATCCGAAATAGAAGCTATGGCAACGAAATTTGATATTGAAAAGTTCAATGAGAGAAATTTCTCATTGTGGAAATTAAAGATGAAGGCCATCCTGAGGAAAGACGGGTGTCTAGCGGCTATCAGTGAAAGGTCAGTGGATTTCACAGATGACAGCAAATGGAACGAGATGGACGGGAATGCTATGACAAACTTTCATCTAGCATTAGCAGATGAAGTATTGTCAAGCACGAGGAGAAGAAGACAACTAAGGAGATATGGGATCATCTCACCAAATTGTACGAGGCCACATCATTGCACAATAAAATTTTCCTTAAAAGTAAATTGTACACTCTCCGGATGCCAGAATCTACTTCAGTGACGGTGCACTTAAACACACTGAACACGTTATTTTCTCAGCTTACATCCTTAAGATGTACAATAGGAGAACAAGAACGTGCTAAACTTCTACTTCAAAGTCTACCTGATTCGTATGATCAACTTATCATCAACTTGACAAACAGTAATGTCACCAGTCTAGTCTTCGATAATGTTGTAGCTGCTGTTCTCCAAAAAGAAAATCGGTGCAAAAACAAGGAAGACAGATAAGTAAATCTACAACAAGCAGAAGCGTTGACAACGATGAGAGGGAGATCAACAAAACGTGGCTAAAGCAGCAGTCACAAACATGGTAGATCGAAGTCGAGAAGCAAGAAGAATTTAAAGTGCTACAATTATGGAAAGAAAGGACACTTGAAGAATGATTGTTGGAGTCTAAATAAAAACTCCAATCCACAAGGCAATACCGCAAACACTTCAGATGATGGAGATGCTCTATGTTGTGAAGCGTCAACCACCATAGAAGGCAGAAAAAGATATCAGATATATGACTCATTGATTCAGGAGCAACATATCACATGACCTCAAGAAGAGAATGGTTCCATCATTATGAACCTGTCTCAGGAGGATCTGTGTATAGTTGTAATGATCATGCCTTAGAGATTATTGGCGTGGGAACCATCAAATTGAAGATGTATGATGGAACAATTAAAGTTGTTCGAGATGTGCGAAACGTAAAATACCTGAAGAAAAATTTATTATCCTACGGATTATTGGATAATAATGCAAGCAAGATTGAAACACGAAAAGGAATCATGAAGGTGTTCCGTGGAGCGCTTGTGGTGCTGAAAGACGAAAAGATAGCAGCAAATTTGTACATGCTGTAGCGAGAGACTTTGCTAGAAGCAGAAGCATCTGTTGCCTCATGTAGCTCAGATTCTACAAAGCTATGGCATCAGAAACTTGGACACATGTCAGAACAAGGAAT